CTGGAGATATCAGATTGCTGGAAGTAAGGTGATCTAGGATGGCTCGCTTCAGAATGCGTTCCATCACCTTGCACGGCACGCTAGTGAGGCTTATAGGCCTATAGCTGCCAGGCGATAGTCGGTCGCCAGTTTTGTATATTGGCGTGACAATCGCTTCCTTCCAAGCAGGGGTAAGGCGGCCTTCGTCAAGCAGATTGATACAAGGGATCGAGGCTTCCAAGTTTCCCGGGTCGGTGTTGCCTTTGTCATTCAGTGGCTGATATTTGCCTGAAAGGCACAAGCGAATATATGGTGGAGCACTGCTCTTTAATTCTCAGCGTAGGGCGGTAAGTGTGGCCAACCTTAGGAGGAAGGTTATTCCGCGAAATGAAGAAAAATTCGGCCTAATAGGAGTGTGCGTTCTGAGCTTGAAATTTTTCTCATCACTTGCCTGCCGTGTGTTAGCTGGATCAATGTAGGAAAACCTGTTGGCCAGGCCTTTTCCAAAAATGATATCAGTAAGTATCAGGTCTCCTCGAAGTCGACTAAACTACAGGGTAAGAGGTCAAGCACCACGAGATGAGTTATATAATCACGGATTCACGGATTGATACACAACACCGAGGCATTTGTCCAAGCTTCCCGCGTCGGTTTAGATCTTGTCGGTCAGTGGCTGTCTTTCACCTGAAAACCACGATTGAGAAAAGGGTGTAGCATGCTTTTCATGTACTCAGCGTGGGGCAGCATGTTTGCCAGCGCGAGGATTCGCATAAATAAGTGTATAATCGTGCTTTAAACTGGGTTCTGGAAGGAGTGTGGACGACCGTCGAGTAAGGGCAAACCAAGCACCCAATACCCGAAGTGAGAGAAAAATCGCCAGATAGAAAAACGCTGGCTGGCTTCAAGGTACAGTCCTCCTAGAAAACGGGGCTCTAGGGAACGCCACCCAGCGCCCAGGGCCTCACAGAGACACTCTTCCGGCCAAACAGCGCCAAAACACCCAAGAATCCAAGAAGGTGAAATTTTGCCGCAAATCTCTGATCAACAGCAAATCTGGTCGCCAAAATGGAGGTGCTGAAAAAGCTACAAAGATCAACGGTCGGAATTTTCGCCCACGCGGAAAAGACCTCGTCCCACAAAACCAAAAGGCTCGAGCAAACCGGCCTCTCACGGGGCGAAAAAACCTCGCAAGCGAAAAGCACCCCCAGAAACCACGAAGACAGGAAGCAGACGACATTGCCCTAGAGGCTCTTATGGAGCCTTGAACTCAAACCCGGCGCGCAACTATTAAGTCTGCTAACCACCCTGGTCACTCAACTTTCGGCTCCCCACCCTCGAAGGCAGCAGAGACGGTGTTGAAATGCTTGTACACAAACTGCCTCAGCCATTTCAACAACCTCGCCGATGTTAAACAGTCAGCTTACCTTGAACAACCGTCTGCAATCGCACTCAGAGAGACTTGGCTCAAACCAGATGCCTCTGACGCGGGGATCTCGATAGATGTTTGCTCTATTCTTCGAGCCGA